TAGCCACGACATAAATGAGACCCTATATGTTTTCACGGGTTTCTTTTCACACTGCGCAATAAAACGCAACCAAATGAAATCAAAACAAAAAAAATCCCATATGCTTTTCGTTCTACTCCTTTTCCTTAAGAGTTTTTTAATGGAATTCCCGCCGCGCACACGCTGAGGTGAAATGGCAAATAAGGTAACGTGTCCATCCTAATTATATAATCGTATTTCAGTGCAGCAAAAAGAAAAAACACAAGCCGCAGCCGCAGGTGGAATCCTTAAAATAACTGGATGAGCATGAGGTTGAGGTTGAAGGAATGCGAGTTGGCATTGGCAGTAAGCAGAACGAGCGGGAATATGTGGAATTCTGTGCGGAATGGAGGAACAAAATTGCATGTGGGACCTGGCTCATCAAGGAGTGGGAAGAGCAACAGTTATTGGAAAAATCCCTAATAGAAAGTGCTAAATGATGGGATGCAAACAGGAAAATCAATGTGTATAAATTAAGAATGAATGAAATCTCCAGTGCATACTGCCAAAACGGATTTCAAATGTAATTAAAACGTGTTTCAATATCCGACTCAATTAGGAAGATGGCTTGTGCCTCAGCTGGTGTCTAATTAGCTGCATGCTCAAGCCCAGCCGCTGTCCACAATCAGGTGGTATGCTAATTTCGTTGCCAAACAAGTATAAACATACACACAGACATACATATGTATGTGTGTATGCAAACACACACGGAGACTGCGGCTCAACTTGACCTCATCTAATTGAAAAGCCATTAAAAAGCTTTCAGCTTCTCATTATACATTTAAATATTTGCTGTTTTTATTTTTCGGTGTACGAGTACGCGACGTACCCCCTCTCTCACGATCCTTTGCAACATTGCTTGGTCCACGGTTAAGCCTGCCTGCCGCATGCTGCATCATACATATTCCAAGTTATTTTAATGCTTTTGCTCATTTTTAAAGTTCATAAAAAATATAATATTTTCAGGAAGCAAAAGTCCAAAGAGCACATATAGACTGGAAGATTATCCTCGAACGGGAAACATAATATTTATGCAAATTTCAAATAAAACTAAATTGTACCACCAGAACGATCGAGATATTTTTCTGCATTTGTATAGCCTTGTTGGATTCAAAGGTAAGTAACTATTTTCTGACCTTCCCCGATTGCAATATACCCGTTCAGTCTGCGGATACCATGCAAAACTTCGGCGCAGCTTCGCACAAACACATGTTTAACATGCATTTATTCTCAGGTAACTGCATTTGCCTTTTCCCATATTCAACAGCAGAGGGTGGGCGTCTTTTTGATGCATTGACTTCATCCATAAATTCATGAGTGAAACGCTGTAGGATGAAAGTCAAACAGCTGTCTTAAAATGCCAACTCTGATTCATAATTACCAGCGGTATATGTATACTTGCATAGCATGTCCTATACTGTCCCACCTGAAATTGTCAGACTTTAAACACGTTCATTGCAAATGAATATCCAATACACATCAGAATCCCCTACTGACAATTTGGAATCTACCTAGTGGTGGTGCGCTAACCGCTAATGCTATAAACTCCCGAAACAGATTGCGCAATTATGACAGGTAGCTTCAATGAGGGGACTTGCTGGGGCAACCGAGACAGAAATAGAGAGCGGGAGACAGGAGTCCCAAAGTGACGGAGATTCCGTTAAGATTGCCTGTCTGCTTCATGTGGCAGGGGTCAGCGAGGAAAGGCTTTAAGCCACTTAACGAGATGAAAGCGTCATCAAGTATGCAATGCGGAATGGAACGGGAGACTGGTCCCTCGAACGACACAGAACTAACGATTAAGGGTGGCGAATAGGGGCGGAATAGATGTGTCAGGTGTGAGGTGGGATTGGCACGCGGGGGATGTGGATGGCATGGCAAATGAAATATTAATAATTTTGTGCGGGGCTAAAGGCGAAACTAGACCAGAAATGGCTCGACAGGTGTCGTGCTTGGCTTACACAACAATAAACAAAGCAGAGGATACGATGCGATGGTTAGCGGAGAAGTAGATGGCTACCAAAGCGTCACCTCCTGCGTGCCTGAGACTTGGTGCCAGTGACTGTTTTTCCGGCTGCCCAATCTTTGGGGAAATTAGTTTAAAAGGTCAAGCCAGATGGAACAGGAGGAAGTGCAAAGAAATTAGCTGCGTAACTAACTTGTAAACTGATTATTTATGATGCCAATTGAGGAGAGATGCTCCTAACCCTCTCTCTCTCTCTCTCTCTCACGGACTCTCGGACAGCCAATTTTACCCACAAACAATTTTATTACACTTGCTCGGTGGAAAATAAAATTATAAATTGCACTAAAAATTAACAACTTCACCAACAATTCCACTTAAAATGTTTATTGCGCTCATTAATTTTTTGGTTGTTTTTTGGAGAGTTGTTGCCGGTTGTTTGGCTCTCGGTTGCTTTTTGGCCAATACAATAAAAATAGAAATGGCAGAGAGGAGCTCAAGACGAGTCGATGAGCAAGACTCAAGCGCAGCGGAGGTGGAACAAGTAGAAGCTCTGAAATTGCATTAAAGTTTCAAGAGCTTTAATTTGTGCAATTTTCTCATTCTCTTCTCACGTTTTACCACCGTCTCACTCCCGGCGACTGTGTCTGGGACCTGGCTTAATGAAAATTCCGAGCAGGCAAAATATAATTTATGCCTTCTATATGCTTTATTGAGTGCGATTTATACGGCACCAGGGCGACATCAGACAGAGTCAGCCAATTCACTTTGAACACAATGTGTACAGTGAGTTGGGAAAGTTTTGGGACAATGGAATCGAGAAAATTATGGTTTTAATTAATTTGTATAAAGTTCCATGAGAGGAAACTCATGGGAATGTCATCGAATGTATAAGAGCAAATCAAATGAAATGCACCTTCCAAAGAGAATTACTCATGAAATCAAAATCTTTCCCAATATTTGAATACTCTCTCGATATACTGTTTGTGTGCAATAACAAGGACATCATCAGTACAATGTTATTCCGTAAAATTAATATTAATATTAACAATGCCGCTGATGCGCATGATGTTCGTGGACGTAAATAAAAGCTACTTAAAGTTTTAATGCAGCGCATAAATAATATGTGTAAATAAGAGTACATATTTGCTTTCATTTGGCAGCCAGCGTTCAACAATGTTGAACAACACCCAGTCATTGCGAAATGGTGCTAACAAAGAGTCAACTGCACATTGGCTTTACTTGATTGAAGAAGTGAGATTAAATGGCCTGGTTTTCCAAAGTTTCATGCAGTGAATGAGGTTGACTTACTGAATAAATCAGTTGGCCTTTGAAATGCTCGTTCTACGACGAAGCAATGCAAAATTTCGACTGTCTCATTATTACAGATTATTAAAAACTGGATCCGAAAAGGTTAGTGGTAAAGGGAACACAAATTATGGGCCTGTATGATAACTCATAATTGCTGGTACATCCATAAACATTTATCAATTTTTCCAAGCGATTCTTTTCGGCGGCTTGGACACTTGCCGTGATTCATGGGAGAAACAATTTACGAAGGAATTCAAATGGAACCAGCTTTAAGCTCTATAAAAACACATCAAATTGAAACAGAGACATATGTGAGAGGCCTAAAACACGATGCGCCATTAGGCCCGGAAATGAAAATAGGAGGAAAAAACTAGAAACTAGAAATATCTACACGAGGAAGATGTATGTATGTACATATGTAAGTGTCTGTCTCTGTTCTTTGCCAACTGGCACTTTCTCCATTTACTGTCTCTTTCGTCAACTGTTTTGCAGTGTCTTTCTGCACTACTGTCTCTGTCTTTTTCTCCACGTTTCTGTTTCTATCTTTCCTACGCCTGTCCTTTTCGGTGTGTAAATTGGTGCTAAGGTGCAATTCAGGCAACAAGCCAAAGGGAAGCATTGCTGGAAATCGAGTGACACCTGCACGAGGACTTTTCAAGACAGAGAGAGGCGGAAGAGATGGTGTAAAAGAGCGAAAGAAAGCGATGTGGCAGTGCAAGTGAGAGGAAAGATTGAATTGAATGTTGAGTGGAAAACGGTTCAACGTAGTTGAAGTATTAGAGCTGCAGCTGAAGAGTGACTCACAGTTGAGCAAACCCATCAATGGATGTTTGAGGAACCAACAAAATACTATTTGGATGAATGAGAAAAGCACGAGAATAGAATGAATTGTATACCTACCGTTTCCATAAGTTTTCCTTCCTTCATATATTCAAGATCCGTGTCCCGTTCGTTTTCTGTCTGACCGGCCCGTTACATGGCACTGGAATCCCCGGGGACCACGGAGACAGCACGCTTGCTCGAAGGCTGATCATAAATGCAGACATTGCCATGGGTTTTGGCTTACACGCGGGGCAGGGCCGGAATACTTAGCTCTTCCAGATCTCGCTGCTCGAACATTGGCGCAATTTGTTGAAAATGTGCAACTAGCCGGAGATGTGGAACCGTGGAGCTGTGGTTTGTGTCTTGTGAGCGATGGCTGCGTTTAGTCTTTCTTATTCTAAGAGAAAACTCAGATGAAACATTCTAAACCAAATTTTGTCAGTCACAGTAAACGGTGGCAGCTTCCGCGCTAGCGATGAATGTTTGGGTAAAGTTTGTCGATACGATACAAATGGCAGAGTTGACGATACTTTCAATCCATAACTTCAATTTCAAACAGATGTGCACAGGTGATGCAGTGAAACATTAATTAAGCTAAACATTAATTTGTAACACAATTGTTGCACAGCCTAGTTATAATTATATATTCTGCAAGCTCTCCCGATGTAATTGAACTATCGTTGGGGCTGACACCTCTATCCGAGTACGCAACTGTCACCGCTATTGAACCAGCTGTTGCAAATAATTAAGACGAATAAGCAGAATTAGGTAAGTTTTCGGGCAAAAGCACACAAATTAAACGAGTCCTGAACTCACAATGTACAGACTGCGGCATCAGAGTTGTGCAGGTTAATTAACATAATGCCTCGAACTGCTTTTCTTGCAGAAAACACAACCCATAGGTGAAACCATAGAGGCCGGCAATCTAAGATGCCGCACACCATTTTACTTGTACAGCCGGGGCCATGCCCAGGGAGTCGCACTTTCTGCGACTACGAGAGCGTCAATGAGTGCATGGAGGGCGTGTGCAAGAGCTACGAGGACCATCTGAAAAAACTCTACCCCAACAAACGCACAATTAAATACGAGATCGGCCAGCTATTCGATTTCATCGATACAATGAAGGACATCTGCTGCTTGGTGTACCAGAAGACCACCCGAACATATGCCCCATTCAACAAGAAGTGGATAAAGTATAAGATTTATGTTATGCTCCGCAGTGAGTCATAAAGTGGCAGCCCTTAAAACGAACCGATGGGAATGTCACACAGATCAATGGATAAACAACGGTGAAGACAGCACGAATCACACACTCACAATAATGCCGTGTTGTCAATCAATCAAGTTCAGACATCACAATTCACATAACCACAATAAACCAAACCTTGTCAGTGAAGTGTATTAAGAACTAACAAAGTGTAGAAACGCACAACTGAATCCAAATTACGGCATTGCCTTTTGCTCCATGCAAATAAAAATATCTTAGACCTAAGTTGCAGCACCACCATTGGGAGGATCGATCTTTTAGCAAAATAATATATAAGAGCTGTAGTTAAATTCAAACAAATTATCTGAATATTTCTGATGCTAAAAATGTGTGATTTTCGAAAATAGCTTTCGGCATTCCAGCTGTAAATTTGTTTGGTTTTCCATTTTGGAAAAGCTTTTAAAATACCATACGCTGCAGAAGCGCCTTTAACTGCAAAACTTTTCCATTAAAATGCTCAATACAACAACAAAAATTATACTGAGAAAAAAAGAAGTCCAACAAAAAGTTGCAGGCTACGCCCACTGATGTTGAAAAGAAGGCGCACGCCCGAACTTTGGCGACCACCAGCAAATGCACTTCAAACTCATTTCATTTGGAAAATAAAAACCTGAGCCGAGACCTAGGATAAAAGACAACTGGAACCGAACCGAACTGAACCGAAAGCGCAGCTACAGCAGGCAGCCGGCGACGAGAGTGGAAAGCGGGAAAAGTTAGTTTGGGAAACTGCTTTTGTTGTTGTTGCCGTCAAGTGCGCGTGACTTTTTCGGGAGCTTCAACAAATTTCGGTTGAATAATTTAATTGTTGCCAAAAGGACAGAGGCACAGACAGAATTTGAGAGAGAGCGAGAGAGAGAGAGAGGTGGATGTGGCGTTGGGAATTCGAGTGGGTGAGGGTGAAAGGAAGACGAGAAAACCTTGACTTAAAGCAGCGACATTAGCCGAAATAAAAGAAGCAGAGGAAGCACTGAGGCTGTATGACATCTACTGACTTATGGAAAACCAGAGCATTTAGAGAGAGAGTTACAAGAATAAGTGATATTGATCTCAGTTTGATTTACTACTTGGTAAGAGAATATTCCTTTTTTCAGATGAAGTTACTTATTGTCAGCCTATGAGACTTGAGTCTATATCGAATATCGAAAATTACCATATGTACATATGTATATAGTGTGTATTGGGTACAGTGCCATACAGACAGAAAAAGCAGCAGCAACCGCAACTTTGTCTTCTCTCCTGCCTTCCCCTTCCTCATCCCCTTCTTCTTTTTCTTCATCTACATCTTGCCCCGTTGGTTCGCTTTTTCAAATAAGCGCAAATAAAATATGCAAAAAGGCGTAGCGAACTTTATGATATTTGACTTTGTGTAGAACGCTAAGGAAAAAAATGTGCAAAGTCCAAAAACAAAAATTCCAGTGGAAAAAAAACGAAGAAAACTTTTATTTTAAGTTCAAGTTAACTTTTTGGTTAGAATGCTGCGGGGTAGGGGCAAAAGTAGAGGCTGGCATGGTGGCAGGTGGGTGAGGCTGGGGGGAATCGAAAGGGAACATGGAGTTGGCAGGGATTGATGGTCAAGGTGTGGGATCGCTGATACCACTCAAAAAAGAATCATATTTGAAGGCGGATGCCTTTGTGCCATTTAATTGGAGCTTGAGTGGAGTTCATGTCTGCATTGAATAACGCAATAAAAGTGCTTTGGAGCACCTATAACTAATATACTCCATAGAACCCTGTAAACCGCTTGTACGTACATTTATCCAGCTATTCCTCACCTGTTTTTGTTTCATTCTTTCTTGCTGGTTACCATGTTTCTGGTCTTTTGGGCAGGATTTTCATTTTGGAGGCAAAAGAGCAAACGAAACGAAATAATTTATTTGCAAATCAAAGTTGGCAGCGCGTTGCGTATATTAACATTGTGCACTCCAAGTCTACACCATATAGTGGCAGAAAGGGGGGCAGGTGACGGGTAGGGAACCATGTTTTTGGCTAGGGTTTCCTAGTCGAAAATTTAATTTCCCAACTCTCTCGCTCTCGTACTGTGTTTTATTTATGATCTTGATATGCTTATTCGTACCTTTCTGCAAGTTTTCACAATTCGACTTGGAGTCATATTTCATATTTCTTTTCTTTTACTCGGCAAAAACTTGGCCAGCTTTTCATGCTGTGCAGGGAGGGGCAGGCAGGTGCGGGAGAGGAAGTGGGAGCCTGCTGGTTTTACCTTTTGCTACCTTTTAGCCAGGTTTCGCCTCGCTTCTCTGCTGCTCTCCAGCCTTTAACATATGACTTCCGTAATGTTTGCGTGCACAATGAATAACTTACTCCTATGTTATCCTTTTGTGCTCATGCTACTGCGTGTGTGTTTGTGTGTAAGGACAGAGTGGTTCCTTGGTTCCTTGGTTGGTTAGAGGAGCAGTACGACTACGAGTAGCAGTACATTCTACATAGATTCCTAGCCCCAGCTGCGCTTTAAGTCATAATTTTGCATGCAAGCAGCTGTCGCTGCTTAAAAATGTAAGCTCGGTTGCTCCTAGATTAAGTTTGCCCTGCCCCTTCAGTTCCACACTTGCCCCAGAGCCACTCCTCTCTGCCACTGTTCTACTTTCACTCCACTCTATCCTAGACAAACAATCTGAATACGTTTCCATCAGCAATGAAAGTCATGTCAAGTTTGTGCATATGGCCAGATTTAACCAAAAGAACTTGTGGTATCAAAAACATTTTCATCATGCGGTTTCAGTTGTTGGCGAAGACTGTAAGAAATTAGGTTGGAAAATAGTCAGACATTTAGTTGCGGCATCTGTTGCTGGTTTCTGCTTTTCACCTTTTACAAATTCATCTTTTTGAGACAAGCTTAAATAATTGATCAACATGAATCGATTCTGCTGCTGCACAATCAACAAAGACACACATCAAACGCTTTCCACACATGAATCTCAGCTCGTTAGCCATTGTTTTCCATTGTTTCAGTTGGAAATTTTCTGTTGTAATCAGCGAGTTTCGGCCCCAAATTACATTTATCAAAGCAGCAAAGCAACGACAGCGGCAACAGCAAAAGCGATAAACAAATTACGTTTCTTTTTGCAACTAATCAAAAGTAATCACTTTGCAATTTCGGCTCGGTTCGGCTCCCTCTCTCTCTGACAAAAAGACAAACAAAAAGTGGGCCCCCCTCCATCGAAGAAAAATTCCTGCCACAAGCAGGAGACGAGACCCTTCCCACGGGCTGGGGATCTGCTTCTGGCTTGGGGAAACTGGAAGTACCATCAACAGCTGCCATTTGCTGCTGGCATTCACATCAAGAACAACAAAAGTAACAGAGGAAAGGAAGGAATTTGAGACGAGTTTAAGATACCCTGGAACCATTGTCATCAAAAGAGTTTGATACAAATTGTGAACGAGTGTGAAGCGCACGAAACGATGCATCCGACTTGATGTTTAGTTGAAAGAAATTTTACTTTTGATACCTATTCGCGTCTGCATAAATTCTCAATGCCCGCTGCCAGGGTATAACAAAAGAGAAGACACTTTTCCGTCTATCCAGGAGACGGTGGGAAACCAGAGGGGAACATACGCGACAAAGTTCGACAAACAAAATCATGATAAATGAACCCAACCAACGGGCAAACAAACCAACACAGAGAAACTGAGAAAGCCGAGAAAACTGAGAAAGGGGAAAACTTTCTGGCGCCGTGTCTATGTATGGGTGTGTGTATGTGTTTTTAATTTGACAAAAGAGCGCAGGAAATTAACGGGAAAAAGGACAAGAAAAACACAACTCGCTGATTGAAAGGGGTTAAGCTTAGGCAGAGATAGGGAGAATTAGGGGAGAATAAATAGCTAGAAAGAGGAGCATGAAGCAAAAGTGGTGAGTGGAGGTCCTGATATTAGCTATGCAACATTTCTATTTGGAAAATAGCCTGCGGGCTAGACAAACTTTATACAGTGAGTGCCTTATGGTAGGATTGGTACTTGGTGCAGAGAATTTCTCATATTTACAGATGCATTTCATTAAATATTATACAATTATTCTTCTCGTTGATAAAAAGTCATCTGCTTCCCGTTCGCTCAATGAAGTTCTCCCTGCCTCTCCAAATACTGTTGGACAGCCGCTGGTTTGCTCAATCGACACAAATAATTCAACGAGTTATTACAAAAGCTAATTACAACTCTCTTCAGCGACCCTCGCAACCCACTAAGTAATTATGTTTCAGAATAACATTTAGGACGGGGAAAGGCATGCATAAATATTTCATACTGGTCTGCGCCAAAAACGATACATTTTCTGCCCCATTTCGCAGTGCGCATATATTTCCACACATTTTCAGTGTGCCTGAGGGGCAAACACCCCATATGCATGTGCATTAGAACAGTTATGGAGGGGTGCTGGTGGCGGTGGCGGTGGGGGTTGAAGGACACACACTGTGGGGCGGCACTCATGTCGCAGACACTGAAAGTGCATCGATTAGAGCGCCACTAAAATATTTCGCAAATTAACGACCTATGGCATGGGCTGGGCTGGGCCCGAAATGAATGCTAAAATTTGTCTTAATTTATGCAATGCAAAATCTAAAATAATGTACCACAATTCGATGATCAAGTAATCAAAAAGCGATGAGAATTTTATTGGTCAACTATAAACTATAATTGTTGCAGGATAAAATTGAATGGAAATCGAATGAAAATTATTTTGATTTTGATTTTGATTATATTTGGTAGCGTTTATTTATGGAAATAGAGTGAAAAACCAGGCCACACGATTGTTACATTTCCTGCCCAAAGCTTTCGCTTCTTTGCCTTCCCCACAGGTAAAGACCCTCGCCATCATAATTCAATAATTCCACCACCGTCATTAGGGCAACTTCAGCAACTGTCCATCAATTAGACATGAGCGGAATCGCCGTCTCGTCTGGCGCCGGAGCTTCAACGACTTTCTGACCCAAGTCAAGTCGAGCCAAATCGAATTGTGTCCGGAAGGTAGGGAAAGGAAGCAATGGGAATGGGAATGGGAATGGGAATGGAGGCGGTGACCGTGTGCTACCTTCAACTGTCTGTGTCCATTAATGATTGAAATGTATTCAATTGTTTGATTGACTGAATGAGTGAGGGAGGGCGTGAGAGAATGACTGACTG